CATTCAAAAAGTTATTGCATTGGTAAAGAATACCCTTGAAGACCTTTTGTTGGCGATTGATGGAATAATCATAATGAATGAGGTAATAAATTATTACATTAAATTTATTTATTTAAATTATTTTTTATAGAGTATATTATAAAAATAAAATACGAATTAGCAGTATATACTAGTATACTCTGCTTATAGAAAGAGATCAGGATACTCCCACAGTGTCTCTACCTGTCGTGAGAGGTGACAAATGAGGTTGTGTTAGGCCGAAAACCGGTGTAAAATTCTGTTAAACATTATGAAGATTTGTAAAAAAGACTTAAGCGGTGTGTCCCATCTATGATGGGGGGACAATAGGTGAGAGGAGTTACTATAGTACATATTTTCAGATGATTAAGCTTTTATTGGAAAAAATTCGGAAGAAATGAACAAGGAATGTAGAAATAGAGTAGCACTTGACGAAAAGATACTAAGGATACGTTTTATGTACCCTGGATCAAACAAAATAACGGTAGCTCTGACAAGGATGTGAAACATAGAATTAAATGTAGAGAGATTAAAGTAGAGAGAAGCGTTATGTGTTTTATGTGACAGGAAAACGTTCCAATAAGACTATAAAAGAAGTTCGACAAAAATGTGGTAACAGACTATTGTATGGTTTGGAATATAAGACGCTAGATAGAAGAATATAACACAGAATTAAATGAATGTAGCAGGGATGAAAATGTTTAGAGGAATGAGTGTAATGACAAAAAAGTATAGGATAAGGAATGAGTATATAGAAGTACTCTAAACGTAGTTTAGATTGTAGATAAAATGATAAAAAATAGATTAATGGTTTGAGTATGTCATAAAAAGAGAGGAATCTGAAGCAGTAAAAAATTTAATGGAAATAAATAAAAGAAAATAGGGGCGATGAAGACCAAAAAAAAAGGTGATTCAATGAGATTGAAATTATCTGAGGACGGGATGTCTGACCTCAAATAGTTCGGATAAAGGAGAAGAAAATAATATTAATATTAACTAATATTTTATCTAATATAATAAAATTATTTAATAATTATGCTATTATAATTTATAATAATTGTTTACAGGATTTAACAGAGACCACAAATAATATTTATGATGGTAAAGTACCAGGCCACTGGATCTCAATTTCATGGACATCCTCGGCAATAGGTTTTTGGTTTGAAGAATGTTTAAAACGTCACAAGCAAATCGATTCATGGATTTTCACCAAGAAGCCGATCATATTTTGGATGACTGGGTTTTTCAATCCACAAGGGTTTTTAACATCAATGAAACAGGAAATCTCAAGGGCTCACAATGGTTGGACTTTAGATAATATAGCACTCGAAAATGAAGTCACCGTTTACACAAAATATGATATTCAAAAAGGACCATTAGTGAATACCTACCTAAATATTGCAATTCGTGTGAAATAATAAAAATACTAACATTTAACCTTTTCTTGTAAATTACAGGAAGGAGTCTTTTGTTATGGATTGTTTCTTGACGGAGCAGGTTGGAATAAACGGCAAAAAGAATTACAAGAAGCAATTCGTAAAGTGATCTATACAGAAATGCCTGTAATCCATATATATGCTGTAAATTCCGTCGAAACCAAACCCTTGCCTGGGTATCGTTGCCCATTATATAGAAAACCGAGAAGAACAGGTTTAACGTACATAAGTGAATTGCGGCTTGAAACTCCACAAGGAATATCACCCAATGAGTGGGTATTAAGAGGCGTGGCACTGCTTTGCGATATAAAATAAGATAACAAAATGTATTCGTAAAACTTGGAAGGACAGATAATAAAGGTAAAAATTTCAGTAAAACAGGTAATAAATTATGTGCTGGCAGACATGGTAATGGTGTTGGAGGTAGAGATAAAACGTACGTTACTCTGCCTCCCATTTTTTCAAATTTCAAGTTTTTAAATACCACTATAAATTTGTTTGTAATTTGTTGTTTGATCGTTTTCAGAATTTGTTTGACCATCCTACGACCGCTATACCCGAAAAAAATGGGGGAGGTGCTGAAGAAACATTTCTCCAACCTCCTACCTACACTTATTTTAAAAAAACCACAATTTTTGTGTCGTTTCGGTGCTATATTTTGTGTTTATTATTATGTAGTAAATTGAAGCTTTTGTTTTAATTTAAATAATACAACTTCAAAACTTGAATACTATTTAATTGTAAATAGAAAACAAATTTGATTAGTTATTTATTTGATAAGGTATTTATAAGACAATTATAACTACAAGGTAGGTACACAGAGGTACACAAAATATACAGTGTTTTTGAAATAAATGAAGACACTAATATAAGCTGGTCTAATGATGATCTTTTTTAATATTTCCCTATCTTCAAACCTTGAATTTTTTTTAATGTTATTAGTGGAATATTATCTACAATCTACAAATTAGTACTGAATAATGTTTCTTGTAAAATTCTCATACAAATCAATGTGTCGCACAGTGGTTTGAAAAGTGATTTTAGCAAAATTAGCAAGCTAATCTGCTTAAAAATTTGTCCAACATTTCTCTTTCCAGATATTTAATAGTTAATCCGCTTAGTTGGCTATGTAAACGAGTTTCTGGGAAATAAACGATTTTACTAAATGTTTCACTTTATTTCTTTTTATGGTTCTTCCAACACACTCATTAAAATTTGTTTTTGGTCAACCCACATTATTTGATAGAATTACTTCCATATTCTGTGAGTAATATGACATTTTTTTAACCATTCACTATTTTTTTTTAATAATTCTGCCATAAGTTCTTTTATTTTCTGTCCATTTTTTTTATCAAGGACAGTCCTTAAACTGAAAATCTTTGCTTTAATTTTCTCATTAGATGCATCATATCATAACGGCGTATTATATATTTCTGATATTTTATGCAGTAAAAATGTTCATGATTAAAAGTTTGTTAGTTTAAGAAGTGTTTTTTTTTTCGAAAAATATCATAAAAATTTACTTTTGACGTACTATCTAGAATACTTCCGGTTAAAAAAATCACAAAACAACTGGAGCAAATGGAAATCATATAATATCCAAACCACGTATGTCTAATTTAAGTATCGTTTACTGATAATTTTTTAAAATGTATTAATTTTTAATCATCTTCTATTGTTTAAAAAAAAATTAGTATTTATCAACAATTTTGCTTAATTTTGAAATCTATTGTTGGAATTTAAGTTTTTAATCTAAATTATAAACTAAATTTTTATTTACAAAATATGTTTAATGTGACCCCCTTTAACTTGAATGCACTTTTCCATTTGGCGGAGTAATGAACTCCGAGTTCTTTCTAACAAATTTGGTGTTTGATGAACTATGTCTGATACTTCATTGATTCAAATCAAATCAAAAGTTCATCCCCACTACTTCTTTGGTATAAACTCGTTCTTTTATAAAACCCCATAAAAAATGTTACATTAGTTAAAATCAAGACGGTGAGGTGGCCATATTGTAACTAACAAATAAGTGACATTATTTAAATAATTAAATTGAATTAATACTCACACAAATTAAATACCATACCTGCAAATTCAATAGCAGTCTAATGCAATGTTCAAAATTTAAATTATAAATTTAATTTAACTGTTTATCAATACCAAGTATTGAACTGAGTGATTGTTCGAGCACTTCAATATTAACGATAA